CTATCCCTTACGGTGGGTGAGTCTCCCAACGAAAGCTGCTGGGTATCCCTTACGGTGGGTGAGTCTCCCAACAAAAGCTGCTGCGTATCCTTTACGGTGGGTGAGTCTCCCAACGAAAGCTGCTGTGTATCCCTTACCGTGGGTGAGTCTCCAAACGAAGGCTGCTGTGTATCTCTTACGGTGGGTGAGTCTCCCAACGAAGGTTGCTGCGTATCTCTTACCGTGGGTGAGTCTCCCAACGAAGGCTGCTGCGTATCTCTTACTGTGGGTGAGTCTCCCAACGAAGGCTGCTGGGTATCCCTTACGGTGGGTGAGTCTCCCAACGAAGGCTGCTGGGTATCCCTTACGGTGGGCGAGTCTCCCAACAAAGGCTGCTGCGTATCTCTTACAGTGGGTGAGTCTCCCAACGAAAGCTGCTGGGTATCCCTTACGGTGGGTGAGTCTTCTAACGAAGGCTGCTGCGTATCTCTTACGGTGGGTGAGTCTCCCAACGAAAGCTGCTGCGTATCCCTTACTGTGGGTGAGTCTCCTAACAAAGCTGCTGCGTACACAAAGCCTCGAACTCGAAGAGACGTTGCATAAGGTGGGTCTCGAACCAGAGATCATAATTAGGCTTGTTGATTTTATTGATTTCAAACAAAATGAAAACCCAAAAACAGAGGTGGAAACGCACCAGCGGTAACTTCTCAGTAATCTTGCAAATTTGGTAACTATTGGTTCTAAACAAAATGTAAACCCAAAAGAAGTGGAAACCCGCCACCGTTAACTCCTGAATAATCTTGAAAATTTGGTTTCCTCCGCCGGTACTCCTATCAGATCGAGGAATGCAAGACATAAAAAGGGGAAGAAGACGATCTTCTCGCACCTCCAACCACTTCTTGTCTAGCCAAATCCTAAAACCCGCTAGCGAAAAACAGATGGCCACAACTATCCAAGTTTGAGAGTTGAGTTCGAAGAGATTGTACACAACCGATCCAATGATTCCAACTAGAATATTGAACAACCCAAGGTCCGTGGAGGGTCGGATTATGACCAGTAGGATTAGAAGCAAAACAGTGATGCTCAAGGCAAAAGCCAGACCACTCAAGGATTTCTCATAAAATTTCTCAAAAACAAGAGTTAAAATTAAGCAGATGAGATTTGCTATAAGATTTACCATGGAGCTACACGGTCTATGGATGAATTCAAGTTGACTCAGATCACTCAGACTCCTCGAATTTGATACCAGAATGGCTATGATGTGGTAAGACAACGCCGTTTTGAATCCGGTGCGATCATGTTTTGCATATAGGCTGGTATTCCACACAAAAATTGTTGCAGTAAACAGAGCAATCTGGGCGAAGAGAATGGCTGATGGTGAACGTCTCTTCTCGTCTTCGCGGAGTCGGTTCCTCAGAGCCTCTGATGGACTCATCATCTTTTCTTAGGCTGCACACACAAGATAAAAATTAAATTGATTTGATCAGAGGAGACATGAGCTTTGGTAGAAGATTGTTTGATCAATTTAACAAGTAAAACCTCAACATAAAGGAAAAAGGAAACTAGAAGGAAACTTCTCGGCACTCTTCTTTTGTTGAAGTGTTAATATCGAAGTAAGAAGGAAACCTCTGTGCACTGGAATGGAAGTAAGAAGGAAACATCTCTGTACCCTACTTTTAGCGCGTGTTATAGAAGTCTTCGGGTTGGTGTCAGCTCTAATCTAAAAGATATATTGAAACAGAATAAAAAAAAAAAATTTATTCTGTGTTGATATTGTGGTTTCACCTTACTTAATAAATTCCTTTTTAAAACTTTTTTAAAACCTTGAAGTTGATGAGAACTGGAACTCATCCGGTTCAAACACCCTTTTTCACGCTGCATCTGTCTCTTTGGCATTCAATTACTCTTTTAACCTCGTTTCCCCATCTGTCCGATCAAAGCGTTTTTTCCTTTCTTCCTCCCCGATTAATCTCTCTTCTAGCTCCCCCTTTGTTCTTCGATGATCTCATCTACAGAATCCAGTGCATGCGAGCCATATCCATGGGAATATACATGATGGCAACGGAGCTGAAGTGCCGTGGGACTGAATTCTTCCTCCACGTGCTGGGAATAGTGGGGCTGGTTGCCTTTGCTGGGTTGAGAGTTGGTTTGACACTAGGTCTGTGTCTCTGGACCTCGTTGACCTAGAAGTCCTCATCGAACCCGGCC